AATAGCCAATACATCCTTAAAGGAACGATGCAATTACCATTAATTTTATTTAGATTAATTCTAATTCTAATATTTATATACCTGGATTCTCAGCGACTAATATCCAGGTGCAATTCAACTCGTTGCTTTCAAATGGCTCGCTTAAGGTGTAAGACATGGATGGAGTGAGGTATCCTGGCTCGTCATCCTTGATTGTTATACGAGCACCGCACGCCTTCGCGTATTTCGCCTTGAACCCTTTCGCTGACAATATACCGTCCGTCCTCATAACTATCAACATTTCGTTAGCAGTTGACAAATAAGGGGGTGGTATAGCAGTTCGACAATGTCTGCCCATCAACGGAGAGTTCTTCGTCGGGCCATCATATACCTATAAGAGAATTATTAAACGAAACTTCATCAGTTATAGTAAACGTTAACAACATCGTTCCTATTTTTTTAATCATTTGAATTGATATTGAATGAATATTGTTTGTTTGAAAGTATGTTTATAATTAAAATATGTTGAATATTATTGAAATATAGAAGATCGGTTTTATATAATTAATGAAGATACCTCGACGTAATCATCAGTGCAATTGATTGTCTCTTCGAGATCAAAGTCCAAGAAAGTGAAGTTGACAACGTGGTGCCTGTCCACTTGCAACAGCCATTCGCAGTTCTCCTTTTTAGGATAATTTTGCGGATAATTAGTGGAGAATATAATCCCAGTGTCGGCGGTGTACAGACCGCCACACTTGATCGGCACAGTCTTATAGCTGACGTTAAAACCACGGGACGCGTATGATATATCCGAGTGGAATCGCAGGAACATCTTGTTCCCGAAGCTGGTGTAGATCACGGGCTTCTTCGAGTAGCAAATTTCGACGAGCAACGGCGCATTGTCGTTCTCGCCGCTGTAGATCTGCAGCTTGTCGAAGTAGCAACTCGCCTGTTTCTCGGTATTTATCTAAAACACATAGTCGTCGAATGTAACGATGATATTTGCTGTTATCATGAATTTATTAAAATAATTATTAATTTATTTGTCACCATTTTTAATAAAAATTAGGACTCATGTGAAAATATGTCACCTTTCTTCATTCCCTTATGTATCGAAAGTTGATCTTTACATTATTCAATAATAGATTGTGGCAGCTCATTTCCTATTTTTGTTTCTATTTATTATACTAACGTCATGAATGGTGAGTTCAATGCTGTGCGTGTGATCCACTTCGATCAGCCATTCGCAGTTGACGTTATACGGGTAGGATGACGGATACCCCGGCGACGTGAACTCGCCGAAGGGCCTCGTGAGGTGGCCGCCGCATCCGTCGACCACCCACTCCAGCCGGAAGCCTCCGTACGCAATCATCGAATCGGTAACGAGGTTGACGAACACTTCATGCATCGACGAGTGTATCTTCTCTGGTAGAGTCTCAGAACCGCAGAGCCTAACAAGATGATTCGTCATCTCGTCATTCTCGCCCTCTCCTATGTCCACGTAATCGTAATTGCAACCGGTCTCCCAATCGAAGCCCTCCAGCTCGAAATGGGAAAACGTCAAATTGATCTTGTTGCCTATTGGCGCTACAATTTTCCAGCTGCAGTTTAAATTATGGTCGTATTTCTCCGGGAAGTTCGGAGACTCTATTACGCCGTGGAAACCTTGTACAGTGTTCCGACACACTACAGAGTGAAAATAAATAATTAAATTCAGGTGGAAAGTGAGGGACTGATAGAATAATCGTAAATATTTCGCAAAACAGAACTGCGAGATCAGGTGAAGGGAAGGAAACTTAAATACCGAAGAAGGCGACTGACCTGTCTCATACTTGAGATGGAAACCGCGACCGGAACTTGTATAGTCGCTACGGAACCGAATGTTCATTATATTGGACGTCGTCTCGATGATGTTGGGATAAGGGTTGCCACAATATCTCTGGCTGTTGCGTCGATTGAATCCTTCCGATATCTCGATATAGTCGGCTCTACACCTGACGTGTTCTTCCAGTTGTAAGTCGACTATCGTCAGTCGTAACCAACTGCCTTCAGCTACCATGATCCTCCATTGACACTCAGCCAGCTGCGAGTACTCCTTCGGATAATTCGGCGATATGATGTCACCATTAGCAGCGTGCAAATCTCCACCGCAGCCTAAAATATTAAATCTCAATTACGTTCAGACTTCGATCGAACAAAATATTTCTATTATTACCGATCGTTGTACTGTCCCACTCTATGTAGAATCCAGGGAACGATCTCGACTGGTCGGACACGAATTTCAGATATAATTTATTAGTCTGGGATATAATTTCGGTTGGAATGTTGGTCCCACAATATTTGCCAATCAACGGTGAATTGTCGTAACCACCGTTCCTGAAAGGAAATTATGAATATTAATTTCGTCATTATTTCCCTATATACGTATACAATAATTCGTATGATCGATAGAGTTGCTCGCACCTGATTTCCAAATAATCGAACAAGCAATTGGTTTGCCCCTCCAGCTCAAAATGCGTTATGTTCAGAATGATTCTTTGCCTGTTCGGCGCTTCGATGATCCATGTGCACTCCTTTCTGTTCGGGTATGCGCGAGGGTATTCCGGTGACCGGATGACGCCAACCGATTTCAAGAAATGACCACCGCAGACCTTCCTTGCGTCAATGAAAATGTATGTTGCCACGAAGCCGTTACGATTTATCGACGAGTCCGAATGGAAGACTATCGTCAATGTGTTCCCTTCTGTTATCAATACCGGTGGCTTGGTCGACCCGCAGAAACTGTAGTATTTTATATTATTTAATTTTACACCATTTAATCAATTCTTTTCTACTTCGTATAATAATTGACTGTCTATTATAATAACATATATAAACAAACGATGTATATGTATATTAATTAAGGAAACGTACGTTCCAAGCAATTCCTTGCCAGACGACAGATAATTCTCGTAAGCGCTGACGTAGTCAAATCGACAACGAATGTTATGCTCCAAATCGAAGTTCAGCCAAGTAAGCTGCACCACATTACCCGGGGGTGCAACTATAGTCCAGATGCATTCCTCGTCGTTCGTATACACACCATCTTTAGAAGGTGACTGTATCATCCCATTCGATTCCGTGTACAATCCTCCGCATCCTTAAAAACACATCCACCACCAACCACTTCGTGAATCTCATAAAAGTTATACTTCCACTGAATTAAGTACAAAAATATAATTATAGGTGAAGTAAAAAGTTCTGAGCCTTTTTTGTCTTTATTTCGACGATGAAATTGACTTCTTGAGACCAGCCTTATGCAAATGGTTCCAAACGGTTTTCTGGCTAATCTTCAGTTCCTGGGCAATAAAATAAGTGCTCGCATGCCGGTCTGACTCGACGATTTCCATGATTTTATCAACGTTTTCGACGATTGGCCTACCAGAGCGTGTCTCATCTTCGACGTCCATATTACCAGAACAGAAACGTTGGAACCACCGCTTTGCTATTGCATTCGATACTGTATTGGATTCATAAACAGCACAAATTTTTTTGGCCGCCTGCATCGCTTTTTCCCCTTGGTCGTAGTGGTACTGAATAATGTATCGAATTTTCTCGTTTTTTCCTCCACTTTGGAACGCACTAACACACAACTGGATTCACTCATCAAAAAATTGTCACAAGACTTTTTTTAAGGCGTTATGTCGCCTTTAATTTGCCGTATAGAATGAGAAGATACAACGTATACATCGTAAGATATGGCTCACTAAAGCCATGTAACGAAAAAGGCTCAGAACTTTTTACTTCACCTAATATATTATAATTATTCTTCTGTTTATTGAGAAATCGGATTTAATTCTACTTACTGTTCTTGAAAGTGGTGTAATTTGCTATGAAGCCGCGATCCTGCGGGCTCGCCATGTTCACGTATTTCAGCATCATCGAATTGTGCGTCGAGTAGAAAGTCACGTCGTCTTTGGACGTAACGGCGTCGGTACCGCAGAGGTTCGCTAAACGAGTGTTGTTCTCGGTGAGACCATCGTACACCCGGAAGTAATTTATGTCACAGTCGGACTTCAAAGGATGTCTGCGGATGTCCAGGCTTAAGATGTTTAGTACAATTCTTCTATCCGATGGCTGCGTGATATCGTAGATACACCTGAGCATTCGATCGGACGGTGGGTTCGTCGGCGATTGAATGATTCCTGACTCCTGTGTGAATGTACCGCCGCAGATGACGTTGTACGAAAGGGCGAAGGTACCCTTCATCCCCAGAAGAGTCGATTTGAATAAAACTAGTACCACGTTGGAGTTCGTTCTGACCGTAAGTGGAATCATCTTGCCGCAATATCGTCCGATCAACGGTGATTCAATGGATTCACCGTCGTAAACCTGACGATTAAACCAAATATTTATTAACATTATATTGATATGATTATAAACGACGAGAAATGAAAATACCTCAACATATTCATGTGAACAATCGGTTTCAGCGAGATCGAATTGGGTCCAACTGATTTCCACCCGTTCACCGACAGACATTTGTATTTTCCACTCGCACTCCAACTCCTCAACACTGTTCATATTACTGGGATTGTTGATAACACCTGACGGCAAGGTGTACACGTCGTTGCAACCCGGCAAGCCTAAGGAAATAATTTCAAATTTAGTCTCAGGGCTAGATAATTCGCAATTGAATTAGATTGTTGAAATTAGGGCCACCTTCGATTGCAGAATAGTGAATCTGGAAGCCAGCATCTTGGCCAGCGTTGTCAGAATGGAAATAAATGACAGCCTTAGAGGACGGTACCACGAGAGGCGGTGGATGCGTGTGATTGCAATAACGGCCTAAATTTTCACCATGAATAGTACTGATCTATATGAATCACAGTGCAATTAGAATCCATATTAAATTCCAATTTCATTACTGACGACAGTTTCATCGAGCGTACCGCGAGATAATCAGCGTTACACGTCGGATGTTCCTCGAGCATCAGTTGTCCAAAATGTATCTGTATCCTCTTGGACGGTTTGACGGTGATCGTCCAATAGCAATCTCTGTTCGGCGGATACCTGCCCGGTGATCCCGGCGAGCTGATCGTACCGTAATCATTCGTCAACCTGCCGCCGCAGACCGGCTCGATGCTGTTCCAATGAAACGCGAACCCATCGTGAGATATGCTGCTGTCCGAATGGAACCAGAAGTACAGAGAATTGTGCGAGGACACGATAGTCCCGTTCCCATGGAGGACCTTATCACCGCAAAATCGGCCGATCATCTGACTCCCGGCGTTCCTACCGTCGTGTATCTGAAACGATTGACATGTGAAACGCACGTCGAAAAAGTGACAAAATTTTTATTTGCAATTTTATCGAAGCATTTTAGAGGCTGACACTTGTATTGATATTTATAAAACAAATAAAATATCGCATCTTGAATGGAATTTGACAAATTGTATGCGTTCACTGCAATTGCCAACAGTTTGCTTTACCTGAAGAAAATCGTACTTGCAGTCGGGCGACAGTTCGAGATTAAAACGCGTGAAGGTGACGTTCAACACGAGCGAGCTGTTGGTGACCAGGACCCAGGCGCAGCTCAGCCCGTGCTGATAAACGTTGCCGCCGATCGGGAACTCGAGATGCCCCACGGGATTTCGGGACACGCCGCCGCAGGTCTGCCGCGGCTTCTCGCATCTGGCCCCGGTGTACGTCGATGGACAATCGCAGGCTATCGCGCCGTTCGATATCACGCAGACACCGTTGTTCTTGCATGGATTCGGTGAACACATATCTATCGAAGCGTTACACGTTGCTCCTAAAACGCGATACGATATATTATGAAAAAAATTGTAATTAATTAAATAGTATGGATTATTTAACTAGTTTTTGCCAATTGTTTTTTATATTCATTCATTCCTTACCAGTGTATCCAGGATTGCAGACACAATTGTACGAATGTAGACCAAGCCCGACGCACCTGCCATACACGCAGGGATTACTTGCGCAAGCTAAATTAGTGGGCGATGCTTGACAACCGTTCGGGCCCATTCCATCGCCTATCATGCCGTCTGGGCAACGACAGATCACATAGGCGCTCGTCAAAGCTGCACTGTCGATGCACCTAGCTAACGGATGACATCCACCGTTGTTAATCGCGCATCCACCAACGTAAGTGCAAGTCACACCGTTCCCTTGATATCCCGTGGGACAAGGACCGCACATTCTCGAACCCTGACGACGATTACTATCAATATCTGAAACTCGTTGGATTCCGAATTTTCTAAATTACCATTGTATTAATGCATTGCACTCTGGGCGTCGTGCTGCATCCGCCGTTGTCCTGCAGACACTCGTCGATGTCCGTGCAGTAATAACCGTTCCCTGTGTAACCCTGTGGACAGGAATCGCAGAAAAATGTCCCGGGAGCGTTTCGACATTCGACCCATGGGTTCACGGAACAGGGCCGGTGGTTCCCGGTGCACTCGTTCACGTCCTTGATGCAAGCTGGATTGGTACCTTCGGATTGCCACCCCTCAAGAATTTAATTATCAAAATTAATATAGAAGTCACGAGGAAATAGTGACCTAGTAAGCAAATGTAATTAGAAAAATAGTAAATGTCTCCAATTTTTATTTACGTTACAATTTCTACTCTATTCCCTTTTTTTTTTTCTATTTTATATGCAATTTTAAGCCAGGGGGAATTGTAAAGTAAACAGAAATTCGGCCATTTACTATATTGATGGCCTGTTTCCGGAGCCGATGTATACAATAAATTGAATTTTGATCATACTTGGTCGCAAATACAGATATAGCCGAGTGGTGAGCCTGGTTTGGCAACGCAGACTCCATGACCGCATAACTCAATAGAATTTTGTGTATTGCATATCGAATCCTTCTTCGTGCAATGGAGGCCGAACCACCCCGGTGCACAGTCGCATCTAAAGTTTAAAAATTTATATATAAAGAAATACTTTTATATTTTCAATTATCGTAGGATTTATTTTAAGATTAAGAACCTGTAAGATCCTGGAAGATTATGGCAAGTGGCTCCATTCTGGCATCCGAGATCCGTTCCCAATAATCGAACGCACTCGTTCACATCCACCATACAATTAGGCCCCTAATCATTACGAACAATATTAAACATGCAAATTTGGCGAGTTTAATATTTTATAATTTACCTCCCAGTTGGATGGGCAGTTGCATTGATATCCATCGTACAAGTCTTGACACGCGCCACCGTTTAAACAAGGATTACTAGTACACTCGTTTACTTTCAGTTTCGTCTCAATCGACTTCACTTTATCTTCCACTTTTCGCAGCCGTTGAAGAATCAAACGAATCTTCACGTTAATTCCCTTGGCAGTCTGCAAGCATTAGTCGTATTTTTTAGCTACCCTAAGAAGAGAAATTATAGTTTTAATTTTGATTTACCTCGTTTTTGTACAACGGTTGCAAGGTGCTGTTCCCTTCTATGAATCTCATCATCGCTATTTTCCTTTCCAAGCCGTCTGGCCCTTCGACGATTTGTGACAACCGTTGCAAATTCGATTCGACCTCTGTCATGTATCCGGTTCTCCATCTCTCAATCCGGCGCGTCGCTAGGACCGCCTGGAAAAAAAATTCAATTACCTCGTCAAACGGGAAATAGCGTGTGATCGTCTCGGAGGAAATTCTCAGTACCGCTTGGGTGACTTTGAGCAAATTATAATCGTTCACGTTCAAGAAGCCGGACCCGTGGACCTTCAGAGTGATGTTCTTGTCTTTCGCCGCGGAAATGAACAGACTTCCGTCCCGAGATTCCAGCACGGGCCTGCAAACGCGTTTAAAGGTACGTTCATGCAAAGCTTCTCGTTTTTCTTTCTTAACACAGATCGGATTTAACGGAAATTGCGTTCTCCAGACCTTTCGTCCATCCATGCCGCGCTGAGTCCCAGCCAAGTCAATAGCAACCATTGAGATCCCGTAGCCATATCGAAGCCACAGTGTGGTTCTTGAAATTTATTATGGCATCGCCTGCCGGATGCTGAACTCTGATCTCGCTCGTCGAGAAGTTCGTTTTGAACTGCATTGGGTGATTGGAAACGAGGCAGACTCTCTTCCAAAGTGGGCGTTTTTAGGGGGAATTATCGGAGATACACCCAATATCGATTACACGTTCAACGCTTTTATACGTTTTATTTAATTAACATTTGTTGATAACTAAAGAGAAATTAACAAGGATTCAGTGTTTGAAGGATTCAATTCGAAGGGGAAATGATTTAATAGTGTTATAGTATACAATTCTTTATTAAATAGATATAAAAATGGAAGGTACAATGATACAATAAAATTAAGATTACAATTAAAATTTTATTCAGGAATTTATTGATTTACAGTTTTACATTTCGATTTCAACTAAATCCTAATATAAATCAGAAATTACTCTATACTAGCTTTAATTTCATACCAAAATATACAAAACGCTTTAGTTAAAACGAGTTTCGGAAAACTGAATTAAATATTCGAAAATCTGTGAACGTCGCGCATAGAGGTCAGCATGTGACGCCGGTTCGTCGCGACGCTTGAAATTGAAATCCGCAGTTGAAATTCGGCGCCCAAGCGCGCAGCGCTACCTAGCGTAGGGACTCGGAGTCACGGGTCGCGTTCGGCACGGAGCGTCCGCCGTTCTCCTCGGAGGCCAGACAGTATGGCTTCGGCTGCCGGTTCGTTCGCGTTGGTGGTGTTTGTCCGCGGTGTCACGGTGCGTTCTCGGCCGCGGGTGTGCGTGCTACGTTTCTCTGGGAACCGAAACGCAGCCGGGATCGTGCGTGGACGTGCGTAACGCGTGCCGAACGAGGCTCGTTTCATAGAGTCTATCGACGCGCGAACACCCGACCAAGAGGCCGTAGGGGGCGAGAACGAGACGGTAGCAGAGATGCGGCGAAATGTGAAAATTGTGTTGCTGCTGTCATGCGCGTGGATGTTCGCCTTTGTTTACTACTACCACACGTCAAGGGACACCAAGGTACGTACGCACGTTAAGTCATCATTTTTTCGATAACCGTTTATCAAAAACGCGGTGCGTCGACGCCATGTGCGCGAACGCTGTAAGTGTGTACACGCTGCCGCTCCGATCGGGGTGAGCAGCGGAACGTGTGAATCACCCTTTGTCCCACGTTGCTCGAATTCGGGCGACCTTGACACGGCCACGCTGGGCTAAACCGCAGATCCGCTCTTTTTCACACGAGCTTTCAGAATAATATTGTAAGTACAGCTTCTAGTTGATGATATCATGGGGACGGGGTTACAGAATAACGAAGTTTGCACATGTATATTCGTAACGCGATATTAGAACGTAGTATTGATTCCAATTCATGAATCAGTCCATTGTCGCTTAGCCCATAGTCTTTAAGACGTACGGACAGAGCTATTAGTGTTCTTTGTTTAATCGGTAAATCACGTATGTACGTGCAAGGCCGTCTGTGTTTACACTATGTGTAGCGTGCAGGCATAGAATTATTTAATTCTGGTCTCCATATAGTGTATCAGTTTTTTATTTTTGGTCATACATTATGTGGAAGGTTTAACATTCTTTCTGAGTATTTAGTAAACGCATTTGTTTAATTAGGAGGATGGATCAATCTTATTGTCAAAGTAGGCAGTCGTTTGCTGGTGATAACGAGGAGCACATTCCTCAGTTACGATACCATTCTCGATCCGTCTAGCGTTCATTGACTCGTTAAGCAGCCGCGTACACGCATGTGTATCGGCGTTCGATTGAATCGCGGCCGGAATAAAAATCCGGTTTCTCGCCTCTCTGGTCACTCCACGTATGAATCTGGAACGTGCAATCACGTGATCCAGTTCACGTGTCACGCGGGGATCGAACAACGACGACGAGTTCACGGTTAAACGTAACGGCTGCTGCGAAGTAGCATTACGGCGAACGGGTTGTTAAACGGCCGGTGAATAACGGGCGGCGGCGTGTGCAGCCCGGAATCTGGTCCGCGTTATTGCCCTTATTAGCAGGCAACGATCGCTGGTGTTGTGCGGCTTTGCAAACAATTCCAATGGCCCGTGCCGAGAACTCGGCGACCGGAACGCGCACCGTTAGATCTGTAATAACGCCGGCGAATATTTGCGAATACGCCTTGTTCAGTGTTATTGCAATACTCGTCAAAAAAGTTGAGAAACGTTATAACTTCGATCTCGAAATTTTTTGTATTATCACTTTAGTCGAATGTAGTCAGATCGAATTCTCTGCTGTTCATAATAGGCAGCATATTGGCCAGTATTCAGAGTCATTGTTTGTTCTTAAGATCGTCTTAAGAATTTTCTATCCCATATTTCCAGTCCTTATCTTGTATAGGGAACAGGGATTTAAGCAAATGCTTAAGACGATCTTAAGAATAAGCAACGACTCTGAATACCGACCATTGTCTCTTTTTTACTGGGAATAAAAGAATAAACGATATCATAATTATTTTATTTGACCATGAATCTGCGTGTCAATAACTTTTTGTATTATCACCGTTCTCAATTTCCAATATTTATTATCAACAGGACTACGTTTATTTATTCGCGTATTTATCGTGTACACATAAAATAAATCGATCCCCGCGCGACACTTTTGTTATTCGTTATGATATAATAAAGGTCGTTTTCTTGTGACGATACGACGGAATTACTTTTGTTTCGTAATGCCTAGTCTTCTTTCGATCTTATTCAGTTCGCTTCTTTTCTCCTTCTCCCGGTAAATACAGCAACTAAGCTTGCGTGAGCTGCAAAAAAAAGGGAAAGTGATCCTTCCACCGAGTTGCTCTGCTAACAGATATTTGTCTTGCGCCACGGTTAAATGGCGAAGCCGTGCTTCGGAAGTCATTAAACGCTTGGCTTGGCGGCGGGAATTATCGTTGACATGGAAATACGTTAAGCTGCTTAACAGATTGTTACTTGAAGAGCTTTCGAATCTCTTGAAAGAATCTGTACACACTCCGCAATTATTTCATGTATTTTATTTCTCCAGTAGAAGAAACATATTTTCACCCTGTTCCTCCTTTACTGAGATTTCCTACTGGCGCCAGGTTTTCTGGTATATAGAATGAGGTGCCTCTTGCATTAGTGCTCGAATCTCTTCAGAGAAAGTGTGTATATATACTCCATTTATATCTTCTATTTTATTCCTGCATTTGAAGAACCATATTTTTATCCTGTTTCTCCTGTACTGAAATTTGCTATTGGCGCCGGGTTTCTGAAGTATAGAACGAGGCGTCACTCGCATCAGTACTGGAAACACCGTTTACGCCGTGTGCATTGATTAATGTGGCACGGGGGCTCCAAAGATTGACGGACGTGTTTACGGTCTCGTGAATGGGCGAGCGTGGCACGTGCACGTAGATCTGCGCGCAATTTCCAAGCAACTGGTGAATAAAGCATGGAAATCTCAGTCGGGATTATTTTTGACCCGATGGACGCCACGTGGGGTCTCGCGATTTCGCGTATAGCTGCAGAATATTTTATGCCCTCTCTTCATTCTGATTGCAACAAGCAGTGATCAAATTTAAAAGTGCAGACGCGATTTAACTGTTGACACTATTTCTATCGGTGTCAAAATACACTTCTTGAAATTTTTATTTAAAATTAGTATCATTAGTTAATTACTTCTTCCTCAATTAAATTTTTGACTTTCCCTA